ATGCCACTGATCGTGTCATATTTTTTATTATTTTTTTCTTTTCTTTTACGTAAAAAAGAGATTAATATTTTAAAAAATCTCAGGATATTATACACATTTTTTAAAAAGCTTCCCATTTAAATTCTATTGCACGAAAAAGAAAGAAAGGTAGGAGGAAAGAAAAAATGAAAAAAAATTTCAAATTCATATTTCAGTATGGTTTCAAATGTTAATGAGGAAGGATGTATGATTTTTTATGCACATTTTGTATTTCCCAATAAGGTAAGTTGAATAGTGTCGGCTAACAAAAATGTTATTAAAAGTAATATAGGTTGACACATTTCAACAATTTGAATTATTTCATTTCGATTATCCATACGTTACTTATAAAATTGTTTCAAATAATTTCAGTTAGTTTTTAAATTATTAAAAATAAATATGTATGTACCTACTTCCAATAAATTTTTTTTTAAATAATTATTTTAAAACTATTTCAAACATGTTATATTGAGTGCTTCAAAAATTTTGCTGTGCTCTTTTTTCATATTTTATTAGCAGGTAAACAAGAGCAATCTATTTATAAAATGTCCCTGCATGTGTATGTATGACCTATCTTAATTCTAAACGGAAAGAATTTTAAAATACCTGAACAAAAATTTTAAAATACCTGTTATTTTACAGTCGGAATTTTCGAGTCATTTGGTAAAATACCATTTATTTCAAAAATAGAAAAATATTCAAATCCGGTCATAAAAATATATGATTGTTTTTTCCAAACATTTTAAATATTTTTTTTTCTTAGGTAATTGATATAAATGATAGTAAGTTTTTAATATTTTTTCAAATAAAAATAGAGGTAAAATTTTGAAGTTTATATAAAATTTGTATTTAACAAATAATATTTGATTGTATTTTAGATATTATTTTCTAATTCCCTCTTCAAATTTTTTCTTTACTATGTATTTATATCAATATTTAAGAATTATCTTTCATTAATTATATTTTCAACTTGACACCACAGGTACTTCCCATATCTTGCGTTAACTTACCCTATGAGAAAAAAAAGCTGTTCACTTAAAAATAATAAAATGCTTTCAGTAACAAATAAAACGTTGAAGGCGAAGGTTGTGTTTGTTGTTTTTCCGCTTTTTTTTAAATTTTAAAATAATTATCAATGAAAATATTAATATATTTTTTTGATTTTTCAAATATATGTTCTAAATTTTACCTGCTTTATAATAAGTGTGAATTTATTTTAATATTTCTTCTCAAAAAATAGCCACTTCGATTTAAAAAAGGCCATATAAAATAAGGTGTGCTTTCAAGTTTCTCTCTGAGCATTGGGACTTGTTAGATATAAAGACATTATTAGAAATTATTACTTATCAATTATCAGGAATTTATGCTGGATTAACGATTTTCTAACTTAACACAATAGCCAATGTCCATTATATGTATACAGTGTAAAATTTTATTTTAAACTCATTCAATGTATTCTTTAGCTATTAAATGAATATATTTATAGGCATAATGTGTACAAAAGGATATTATTCACATGAATAAATACGAAAAGAACACTTTGTATTGTTATAAGAAAATTACTTTTGATTGCTTTTCACTCTATGAATTTATTCAAAAAGTAAAGAAATAGTAAAACAGAACTTTTTCAATATTTAAGGCACATACATACAATATACATACACACATATGTACATATTAATTTGTCATCTCACATTTTTTTATATGTCACTTATAACAAATTCTTCCAAGCATACGTACTATTCGTATATTTGAGGCATTCATGAGCAAATAAAGCTCTTGTTAAATATTCTATATATCTGCTAAAATGTTTGGATAAATATTCTACTTATATAATTATTATGATTGCATAAAAATGTACTATAGCGGAGACGGGAGTGAATTTTATAAAACAATTAAATTAACATACAGAATTCAAGTGACTGTGTCCACTCTTCTACAGATTCAGGTGTATAGCCATGAACAATTTTCATAATAATCAACCATATTACAATGAGGTTGTATTCTATACCCAATACCTTTATTGACCTATGATTCTATGAACTTATATACATTTTTGACAATACACGTCAATATTATATAGGTACCTATGTACATTAAAGGGCCTATTAATCAATATAAGAATCTTGCAACAATAGGAATGAACAACTGCCATGAAAAGATAAATTCAATATGAAAAAATAAAGAGGAGATTGTATTGTGAAAATATTGAAGGATTATTTAAAGATTTTTTTTTTATAATTATTGTTATTCAGAGTATTTTTTTTTTATTCTTTTCATTTTCATTTCAGAAACAGCTTCACCACTTATTTTTATATTTCATTTTATACCCGTACGAACGTATGTTCGAAGGGTATACTAAATTTGCCTTACCGTTTGTAACGCTAAGAAATAACGGTATAAGATATAGACTCAAGTGTATGTTTTTGATCAGCGTCAAATTCTGAGTTGATTTAGCTTTGTCCATCAGAACCCTATTAAAATTGGGCATGATCGGGGTACCGGTTCTGGTAGCTGCCATACAACTTCAATAGTAATTTGGCACACATAGTATTTTGAAAAACACATTGTACTGAAATTTTGCATAAATTAATATGATAATACGGCAACTTAAAGTCATAGTCTGTCCCATAGTCAGTCGTGGCATTTTTATTCGCACATAGGATAACAAATTCGTACGGGCATCATAGAGTTGACAAGGTCAACTCTATTTTTTCTCGTTTTTAATTTTATTTCCCTTTCGATAAGCATTCAATTCAATTTATTTATAATTTAAAAAAAGTCTTTAATTTTAGTTCTCGCCGATAATTCTTTATTTAGGGTTCATGAAACGGAACATGCACGAGCATGAACCTAGTGACTTCATTTTATTAAGAAATCTACCTGAAGTATGAGAAAAGTATTGAAATCATTCACAAGTTTTCGGAAAATGGCAAATGTTTTGCTTCTGTGCTTTATCCTTTATTATTCATTATTGAATTTTGATTTTTAACTTGTATATTAACATTTTATTACTTTGTTTTTGGTATAAAAATTTACTCTGATGGTCCCAATATCTAATATTTTTACACTTTCATTATTTCTTAAATGTAGGTATATCTGGAAAACAAACACAATTTATGACTATTCATTTTGCGGATGTTTTTAAAACATATTTACGACGTTTTATTATGGCAAAACAAGGAGAGACAAAGGGGAAAATAATATCCCATATATTAACTTTAACAAATTTGAACTTTTTTTTTTAGATTTCGATTTTCTAAAAAAAAGTATCTGATTTTGATGAATTTTATCTCGAAAACCATGATTTGAGCCATTGAGCCAAATTTATTATAAAACTGAAAATAAAGAACAGTTAATCGCCTGTAAAACTCTACATGGTTTTTAAAACTCGCATTGTTCTGAAGTTATAAGCATTCATTTATATACTGGAAAAATCTGGCACCTTTTTTTCAACAAGCTGTATCCCGAACACGAGAATATCTTCTTCCGCCCACCGATACAATTTATGATATAAATTGATCAAAGAATTATCCCTGGAATTATTTGCCACATTATGCGATACACGCTGTAAATTGTTTAATATTAAAATCATATCTCATTTTGCTCTCTATGATGATTGCGTGCGGTTTCCCTCCTAAGTTCTACAAATTTTGAAATGGAAGAAATGATGTGAACTTTTTATATAGTGCAAACAATGGATAATACAATATTCTCTTAAATCTTTAATAACATCACTTTTCAAAACAAATTTTCTAAAACTAAAAAATAATCAAAAGTGCTTATGATGAAAAAATAAAAAGTTTTCAAATAAAAAATGTTGTTGCGCTCAAAACACATTTTGGGAAGAAAATAAAACTTTTTTTACTTTTTTTTTGGTTGTTCTTAGATTATCTAGTAAACTAAACTAAAATGTGTCACCAGCTTTAGTACCATAATTCAGTATAAGTTTTTTTATTTTTTTCTTAAGTTTTTCTCTCCTTATAATGGAATCCATAACATTTTCTCATTTTTTTTAAGACAAAAATTAATTTTGAAAAATTGTGGTTTTGAATTCGTTACATACAAATGTGCATGATTGCATGTATATGTAGATATTATAAGTAAGTCTTGTTTAGGGTTAACCAAAACTGTAGTACTGTAGTGTACGTACATATGTATATACACATATTTAAAAAGTCGTCTTAAGTTATAAAAATTTGTTTAGTAAAATCTACTCCTACTGTAATTTTATTTTATTTTGCATAAATATTTTTAAACTAAAATATAAAATGTTATATATGAACCAACTAACTCTAAAGTGAAGCTGAAAAGTAGATATAAACAAATTTTTAAGTATCTTAGTTTAAAAATATTAAGAAAGTTTGAAAAAGAAATTTATGTTTACATGCATGTATTGTATGTAGGTCCATAAAACCATTTCTTTATACATATGCATACTACATACTTACATATAATATTATATACGAGTGTAATGCAACTCAACCAACACACATTTGCTTTGCTTTACTCTGGCAAAATTTTCAAATATAGCCAATTTCGGTATTTTAGCAGATATTTCAGTATCTTTGGTATCCAACCTAAATTTGAAACTTAAATGTTCCCAAATAGATACAATATTGTAGCTTAGGATACGATGTCGCCGAATAAAGGTTTTTAAATAAAGTATGTTTTAAATACCACCACGTTCGCATTAGCATTCATTTTCATAGTGATGCATAATGACGTGAATGCTACAAACATTCAAATTTTAAAGCCAATTTTTATTCATTTAATGTTGCTTATGTTTTTGTAATTTATACATTTCAAAATAATGACCAACTATTCATTAGGTATTTTCATATTATTTTATTTTTTAACCATATATTATCACCTGTATATTTTTGCAGCTACTTAGCGTCCACTAACATGTTAGATACAGTCTAACAACAAATAATTGTTTGTGAAGTGTATATAATGGCTAATTTTATTTTGAATATTTATTCGGGACGGCGCGAACGCCATTCCCGGCTACCAAAAATTGCACGCACGAGTTATTCGCATTAGGAATAATCGCGAGGGTCAATCTCATCTAAGTGCAATGACAAGACCTCACCTCGGAGGATCCGCCTTATTGATCACGGAAAAACCTCTGCGCCAGGTAAGTATGATTTTCTTAATTTTTATTTATATCATATACATATTTTGCCAATTTTTTTCTGTGAATTATAAAAATTAAACAAAAATAGAACTAAAAGAACAATGACAACGCGAATAACAAAACAAAAAAAAAACTACATACATGAAAATTATAAAGTAAAGTGATCATACGTGTGTGCTTGTGTGTCGTATTAAATATACTGTTCACATCATGCATTTTTTAGATTTTTTTTTAAATCCAATATGTAGCTACGTAACTATCCGTAGAATGTTTTGGAAAATACCTTGTTCCGTGGAGTATAGACATTATTTGGAAAATAGTGTTAAATACACATATTTTTATATTTATTTTTGTATTTTAATTTATTTTGCATGTTCATTCATGTTATCTCATTTATTTTCAGAGTAAAATGGAAGCACTTTACATAATATAATCGTTGCATCTTCAAATTTTTAATGTAATTTAATTTTTTTAATCCTAAGTTACCTTGAATGCGGAAATATGCATTTTTCAAAATACAGCTTAAACAAGGTAACTACAGTTTTTGAACTTCGATCATTATTGTCAGCCATATTTCATTGATCACTTCAATACCTTTGAGACAATAGTTAGCCAACACATTAAACACGATACGATAATAATGTCTTGGAAAAAATCTTTTGAATGAGAAATTTGAAATTTTATTAAATGAGCTTCATTCAGAGTAGCCCACATATAATATACATATATACATATTGCAGCCACTTTTGAATAATTTCAAAAACGATATCATAAATATATAAGATAATAACATTATCAACAAATACAAAAAGTAAATAAAAATTTAAATATTTGTTTACAATCTCAAATTTTTATGTACATTCAATTCATACATAGACACGAAATTAATTTATTCCTAAAATATTCATTAGAAATCATTTAAAAAAAACAAAAGTGAAATTCACATTTAACGATTGTAGCGCTTCTGAAAGATATTTTTTCCGAATTGGAACTAAAAATACTTTTTAGAATGTGGTTCGGATCCAAACTAATAAAAATTTCTAATTATCTATTTAAATTTTCAAAATTAGTTTTTTTTAAAAATTAACTAATTCTAAAAGCATTTCGAATGATAGATTTTTATTGATGAAATTTTCCGTTTTATATTTTTTTTATATTTAATATAATACATATTCATATTAACTTATTTATTTTGTCTCGAGACAATAATTGTGTCGCAAATGACTTTTCTTGCGTCTTTAATATTTATAACTTTAATTACGTGCACGCCGCAATGTATGCGAATGGAAAACTAAAATTTAGTTCAAAAAACGAAAATTAGTTTAGCCTATCTGTAGATAGATGATGTACTCAATATTTTCTAATGAAACTTCAAATAAACTATAGTTGCTCCACACGGCTGAGAGAAAATATGTTATATGATATTTTTGTTATGTCAAGTTGTTCAATAATTCTTCCCATTTAATATCTATTTAATTACATTATGTCTTCTTAGTGGTATAATAAAAAATACATTTTGTTTACACAATATGGATGAATTTTTTTTTCTAAAATAATGTTAGCATTAAATTTGCTGAATTAATCTGTTACACAATGAGTGAATTGAATTAATACAGAATAGAAAACCTATGAATGCTGCTGAATTTATTTGAGTTTACGACAATGCAATTGTAAGACGTGTTTTTCACTATACTGGGAAGAGAAATTTGCACTAGTTTGTAATTCTGTGAAAATTCTGCGAAAGAATTAGTTGCAAAAAAAAGTATTACTGTGGTGCGGTAGTTTATTAATTTTTATTTTGACAATATTTAAATTTTCTAGTAATAAAATTGCGGAAGATATTTCTGAAGCGATGATTGAACACAGCTATATTTTTATGTGTCAAAAACATATTGCTTTGTTTACATGTCGAACAAAATATTGTAAAATCAATCAGCTGATTTTTATATTAACATTTTAATCTTGTTTTTTTGATATGATTTAAAGAAGTGTTTTACTATTTACAATATAATTTTTCTAAAAGTAAGTTAAAATTTAATTAGAAGTAATATTTGCTAGCTAATAATAATTAACATAGTTTTTAACTGGCTGTTTGCAAAACTAAAATAATTGCAAAACTAAAAAATTATATTTAAAACTTTGTTGTTACAATTAAAAAATTGTTCGCATAAAAACCTTATACTTAGGAGTTACATTAATTATCTACACATTATTTCCACTACAGTGAGATTGTTACGAGCTCTTGCCAAAATGTCTGAAGTAAACATATCATGTAAGATATTTATGAATACACTTGTGAAATGCGATGTACTTACGTATGTATTTTATAATTTATTTTAGCCTTGCGGTTGAAATATATGGAAAAGAAAGAAGTTCTTCTAGAAAGTAGTATTAAGGTCAAGGAACCAATAACCATTTTTAAAGAATGGTTAAATTTGGCATTGCAAACAGAAGAAATTTTAGAGCCGAATGCAGCTTGTTTAGCTACAGTTGATAAGTATGTAAATTACAGTAAAATATTTTGAATAAAAGAGGTTTAACTATTCTACTACCACTTATGTACATACATATGTATATATGTTAATAAAAATTATATTTCAGAAATGGTAAACCATCAAATAGGTTCGTTCTTTTAAAAGATGTGACTGAAAATGGTTTTACTTTTTTTACAAATTATGAAAGCCGAAAAGCTCAAGATATTGAAAATAATCCAAATGTTGCAATGACATTGTATTGGTGTCCTTTAAGAAAGTCAATACGACTAGAAGGTGTGGCTGAAAAAATCTCAAAAGATATGTCCCTAGAATATTGGAAACAAAGACCCCGTGCAAGTCGTATTGGAGCTCTTGCTAGTCCTCAGAGTAAAGTAATTCCAAGTCGTGAACATTTAGATTCAACCGAAAAAGAAATTAAAGATGGATTAGGTGATAATTCGGAAGTACCTATGCCCAATTGGGGTGGTTATTTGATTCGTCCAAATTTAATTGAATTTTGGCAAGGTCAAACAGATCGGTTACACGATCGTATCCGTTTTCGTAGATATAATGGAATTGATAAGGAAGTTGATAATAAATTGATTCATTTAGGTGAAAATGGTTGGGTATATGAAAGATTGGCTCCATAAATTTATAAGCATTTGTAAGTGAAAACATGAAAAAATTTTACAAAGAAAAATGTCTTCCAACAAAAATGGGTTTATTATGAAGTAGGTAGGTGAACTAAATAAATTATTACGATTGTAAAATGGCTATTATACATTATTATAAGTAATAAGTATTTGAATTATTTTTTGTATTTTTTTTTTTAAGAGAATGGAATTAAAATTGAAGATGTTGAAGTATATCCGCATGGATTGCGTTTTTTTTCACTCGTTATTACTTTTTATAAAATGCTGTCGTCAATAAAAATTTATTACGTCAAAACTTTTTTTTTGCAAAGAAATAATTGAATTTGTACTACTTTCATCAACGAAAATGTTACCAAAAGCTTTTTACACTTTATAAAATTTAATAAATTTGATTATCTTTTGTAACAAAGTGAAATGTTAAAAGGTATTTGCTGATTGCATTTTTGTTTTATGACCTTATAACATTTTCTGTATGTTCAACAATTTTTGTACAACTACGTGCTGGAAGGGAATTTAAAAATTTTAAAATATATTTGTATAAATTGGTACTTAATGTAGAATATAAAATTTATTATATTCAATTATTAAATAGATATTATATAAAACAAAATGTATGCATATACAATATATGAATTAATTCTGTATGTACACATATGATATTCGATATTTTTTCCTAAATTTGTTTGGGATGTTTTTTAAAGGTAAATTTGCCTTAACTTTAGAGAGCATAACTTGCGTATTAGAGTCTTTAACTTATGTTAATGAACTAGGTACATAATTACAATATTTTTTAATATGCATAACTATTTGACCTTCCTTGTGTTGTAAAAAACAGCACAGATAACGTACGTTATGTACATATTGGAATTCACACACTTTACCTAATTAATTGTGTAACATTAATGTAATTACATACAATTCCGCCATTCAATATATTACAAGTAATACCTAAATTATTTTAAAATTTAATTAGCTATTAAAGGTACGGTTAATAATTAGATTTTTGAGATAAGTATTTACGTTGCTCCTGATTTCCATTAATATTAAAATGCTTATATAACTAAAAGGTTATTTACATTATTTTACAGAATTGATTATAATATTATTTTAATTAATGTCTATAGGTTGTAAATATTCAATTATTGAATAAAAAATCTTGAACTGATACAAAATATTTTAACAAACCTTATTGAATTTATTTTATTTAATAAAATATATGTATAAAACAATATTATTGAATAATGGGGGGCGTAAAAATAATGAGAAATTTATAATCAAAATATTTGCTTAAGAAAATAACACTAATCCAATATTATTAGAAAATATTAATTATAAAACAAATGTAAGTGGGTACATAAGGTCAATCCCAACTAACAGCAAATAAAATTTATATTATAACGTTCAATAAACTTTGGTTAATTCTAATGTTTTCATAAAGGATATTGTAATAAATTTTATTTATTTAGAATTAATTTAAACTATTATACACATATATTGTTTGTGTTGCATATATATACGTATGTACATATATGTGTATGGCTTAAGTATAAAAATATATCAATTACTTTGTTAGTCTAAGATTAAGTTTTGGTTTTGTTACATTCTTGTATTTGTTCACCATCTCTTCTTATATTAAAAATATAACTCTTATTTCAAAAAATCATCAAGATTTTGTCGGTAAAGAAAATAATGTGGTTATGAAAACAATGTCTATTGGACCTTATTATTATTATTAAGTTTTAAAGTGAATCTTTGATACATGAATCTCAAGAGAAAATTAAACCATAATTTGTACTTTTGCGCTTAATAAAATTTTTGGGGATTAAAACAAATAAAAGTCTATAATTTCTAATATGTAAATTTAATAAATTAAATGTATGTGCATATTTTGAATAGATTTCTGTATTCGGGTGTTAGATTCTGTATTAGAGTTAGTATATTAGTTCGTTTGTTTCTCTTCTAGCAAAGTAATAACTTTGGTTGTTTCTAGCAAAGTAGTAACACTTTCATGGTTGTTTTGAACTATTGAACTTGTTAAATATTTTACTAGTACTTGTAGATAATCTGCTTCATACACTCATTCTATCTTTATTAAATTTTTAAAAATATATTTTGTATTTGATTTTATAATTATGGTTTTATTTTATAAAACGTTTTCATATTATTTTTGCAAGACATACCCAATATATAGTATATATTGGATATAAATATAGTATTCTTACAATAATTTCAACATTTACGATAGGTACGATCCATTCAAATTTATAAAAAACTTAAAATATCTGTAACACGTCACTTACATAATACATCTAACTATATCAGTAATGAATATCCTTCTGTCAGCATCAGATATGAACAGAAAGATGTGATCCCTGTTATTGTTATATAGAAAATAAACATTTAATCATTGATATTTAAATTTATAAGTTAGTTAATATCTATGTATGTAATATTAAGCTATTTTTCATTCAACTTTGGATTTTTGGAACTTTATGTTTGTTATGTACAAAATACAATATTTTATTTAAATAAAGTAGTAGTAATGACTTGATAAATTGAAATTTGGAATTGAAATTTGAAAAATATGTACATACATATATATGCAATTTATATTTTAAAATTTTTGTATTCCATGCTGGTAATATTGGGCTAAAATTAGATATTGAATTGGAATAATTCATATTACATGCATATATACAAAAACTTATAGCCTATAAATTGAAATTAGAAATTTTACTATTACATGTACATACTTACATTATTTTACCTTTCGTACGTATGCATTCTTTGTTATTATTTTCTTTTGAATATTTTGTAATATTAGGAAAAATAAAAATTGGGAAATCTTTTACCCGATTGTGTGAAATAATTCAAAAAGCTAAAAATTAATTTTAAATGAAAACATACAAACAAGAAGAAAACTATTCGAATATATTTTAGTATAAATGCTTTGAGAGAACTATGTTCCTGAAAATATGTATTAATATGACATCTACATGTCATGTAAGCTCACCTATGGATGTATACATGCTTAGATAGAAAAATCATGTTCAGAATAATTTTATATTTTGTGATTATAAAATAGATTCTCGTAAGATGATGGAGTATAAGGGGTCTATAACAATTCAAATATAGAAAATTTTTGAAAAAAGTTTATTAGATTTTAGATAGAACCTATATTTTACAACACACATAGGTTGTGTTCATGTTGACAGATCTTAAAATTCAACTCTACTTCTGATTCTAGTTTTCTGTTGTCACAAAAACACACTACATTTTCTAATCATAATTCAGATTTGCCAACATGAACTCAATCATATTCTTATATTATTGATGACAAAACTACAATTTTAATAAACATACATACATACTCGTATAAGTTAAGGTATAATATAATTTTTTTTGTCAAGGTCTTTCGCATTTTATTCCTTACTGCAAAATTTTCTTCCTGAAAATATTATGATACCTACATATGTACATATAATAATTATATACTTTGATATACTCACATATATATAGTCTTCTCAGCTATGTATTGTTATGAATGTTTTTAATAAAATATATTTGGTAAATAGGGGAGAATAAAATGTTATAATGTGTACATGAAAGGATTAAACTGATTATGTATATACTTATATCCATATATATTACTGAATACATATTAAGTGTATATATACAAGTATAACAACAACGCGCATTTTCAAGCTAAAATTCACCCCATTTGTTTTGCACTTTAAAAATTTTGCAAAATTCCATTTTAATTTATACAATGCATGTGTGTTTTTTTTCACATTAAAGTAATAAAGGGATGAATTATTTTTTAGGGTTCCCCCAATATTGATCCAATAAATGGTATACAATATACAAATATTAGGTAAAATATGAATGATGCACCATATAGATATGGTTCTATGCGGTACCATACGCAATATAAAATGTAAAATTTTGTATTAAAAATTTAAACTCATCTATTTTTATCTTAATTTTTTGTTTTTTGGATGTCACGAAAGGATAATTTATTTTATTATATCGTCCTTTATTTTGTTTTATACGAAGATTTTTTTCAGATGTAAAATAAGCATTTTCAAAAATCAATATTTTTTATGAGAGTAGAAAAATAAGATGATACTGGAAAGATTTTCTCCTGCAAGAATCCATAATGGTTTGCGATTTCAGAATTTTTTAAGAAATCTTCTCATTTAAGAGTATAATATTAAGAGTATAAGATTAAATTTTAATTTTATAATAAGTAAATAAGTTTATGTAATCATATATATGCAGCAGTTTAAGAACGAATGGTTGAATGCAATTGTAATACAATTCTCTATGTAGCAACTGCCCAAAATCCCATAAGTTGTATTTATAATATATACATAGATTTTAAAGATAGCGAGAAGTAGAGAGTTGTCTAATGCAGAATCAAGTGCAACTTCGAAAGAAATTATTCGGCAAAGAGAAATAATTTTTGTGCAGAGTATTCGTTAAAGAACTTGTGATTTATTTTGATTTTAATATTCTTGTCTAACAGTTTATAATTAAATATAACTTGACTTATAAGAATTTGATCTGAAAGTGTTATATTTCTATGTATATATACTTATGGGCTTTAAAGTGTCTTATTATGAGTATAATTGGTAAGTTCAAATTAATATTTTGTTTGTTTTGCATTAAAAAATAACAAAAGACAACAGACAATTAATTTTTAAAATTTTATTCTCCGGAGAAATTTCGATTTTCCGTGAAAGACTGAGTATAAGACTAAGTATTTTTTAATAAATAATTTAGTTCATAAAATTTGATATTATACACTTTACGTATACAAGTAAATTAATACTGTTCTTTAGAACCTTATGTGAGTGAACATTATTATGAATTCTTTAGAACCTATATATCACAAGTGTTATTTACTTCTTCATCATCGTTGTGTATAAAATTTTTTTTCCAAGTTATTCAAATATTCAAATTTTTGTCTTTCCATTTGACAACTTTAATTATATATATATATACATAAGTAATAATTAAAAAGTTTCTGAACATACGACACATATATACATTCATATATATAAGCATTTCTCCTTCCGATTTATGACAAATCCACTTGTAATTTTTTTTCGATTTCAATGAAATATCCTTTATGTGCGATTGTATAATGTACCTATGTATGTATGTATGTATTAAAAATCTATTTCTTTTGAGTGTTTTATATTCATAACATTAAATA